TACACGGGAATTGTTTATTTCTTTTTATGTAAAATTTCTATGATTTTCGACATAAAGCACACAAGGCAGGTATGAAGAAACAACCGTTCGTGCAATTAACCCAATTCAAGTTTTGTGCAAAAACGCATGATCGCACCGGCTACGCCTGGTGGCGTTCCAGCCTACATTTGTAAAAAGATGGAGTCATTGTGTGACTAAGGCTAGCTTATGCAAATTTTTGAAAATTTCCGGTTCAATTTGGAGGGGGAGAGGGGATGATTTGAGTAGCATATACTTTTGAATTCAAACCGCTGGTCCAAATCTATCACTGAGAAGACCGGCTTTTCTACCACTGTTAGTTTCGTTTTAAAGAAAAGTGATGAAAAGTAGTAGTGGCGTGCGTAGCAAAACAAAAATCTAAGCTTTCAGCCTACCCCTTACTCAATTTGATGAATCCTGCAAGTGGATGCTTGCGCTTAACAGCCTTTTATTATTGTTAGTTTTATCAGCTGCTTTTAATTGTCTTGGTGCAAAACCACCCTTACTACCAATTTTTTCATGCTGATAACCACTTGATGATGAGGCCATCAGTGTTTCGTTTTCTAGTGTACGATATTAAATGGAAATGATGTTCCCACTTTTTACTTTGCCGAGATTAGCCGTCTGGGTCAATCCATGCTAGCCATCTAGGTCAAACCTGGGCAACAGTTCCTGGATCAGCAACTAGTAACTATTGATAGTCTAACCCGTGTCATCAGGCTTCTCGTAAGTGTATAACAGTTACTCTCTTCAATTTTCTAAAAATTTCTCGCGGAGGTCTGCTTGATCCCACAATTTGGATGGCCGGCTTTAGGGGACGAACTTCACATCCAAGGCCTGTCCTCTAATATTAGTTTATCAGTTCTTATTTAAAATTCTGAGCCATTAGATGAAATATAAGCATAGCTTTTAACTGCAGCAATGAATTTTTAGCTTATTGAAGCGACAAGTGTAAATGCAGGCGATATTGAGAACGCAACATTTATGGATTGCATGATGCATATTTTTTCATTCCCTTGGAAAATTCTGGGAGCTCTGGTGCCACCAGTAAGCATTCTTGGTGGATGGCTTTCCTTTTTCTGCGCTTTGCTTTTGATCGGCTTCATCACTGCCGTTGTTGGTAAATTTTGCAAATTTCTGGCTAAAATCATGGTGTTAGTGATATTACTGGAATGCTACCACCCACTAGTCTCAGTTAAGCTAGTCTCAGTAATGAAGAGCGTGTAATAACTGGTCGGGTTGGTAGATGTTTTCCATAGATGACACTAAAACGGGATCTTAACATTTTTTCGGTACAGATCGAGTATCAATGCTTCTACGAAATTTTTGACGCAAAATTCTTCCGAGAGTTACTTAGGAGATTGTTCAAATCAATAACAGACTTCCCAGTACTATTTTATTGCCGAAATGAAACAATAAATCGTGCAAAATTTCGCGTTTGCATTAATAAACTTAAGCCAAAGTCTTCTTCTAAAGAATACTCATCAATTACTTCGCCAGCAAAATTTGAATTTATCGAGTCACAAAAGTGTCAAAATTTTGTTGCTAAATTGATCTGTTAATCCCAAGTTAGGATAAGAGGTATATTCGTTTCGGTGCACCAGTTCAGGCTTTTCGACAGTACCCTCCTCTGAGTTCATTTTGTTAGTAGATCCAAGAGTAAATGCGCCTGTTTGCTTCCGCTTCCAGGCAGTGACAAGAGTCCTCCCGACAAATTTATATATGAGTCAGATTTATTCGCGAAATTTTTGTCTGATTCTTCTCATTCATTTCAGTAATGTTGCTTTCGCGTTTTTTTTTTTTTATCATGTAGTATAAGTCGCTGATGTTCAGGTGATTTGGCAAGTATATTTGGCTGCATGGTTGGTTTAAAAGATGCGATTACAGCGATAACCCTGGTTGCTTTGGGTACCAGTCTGCCAGATACATTTGCTTCGAAAATTGCAGCTGAAAGTGTAAATTTTTGATTCTTTTCTAAAATCATTATCGGTTCTAGGGCAAAACACCGGTGCCTACGAAGTTTCAGAATCTTCATTGCTTTAAAAGAAATGCGGGCAGTCGATTATATACTAATCGACTCTTCTCCGACCATACCATTTTTGTTTGCCTGAAGTATATAGTCTATTAAGGGCAGATCCAACAGTACTCCGAATTTCCCAACATATTGTCATTTAAAATTCGGCGAGTATCTGTTAAACATAAGTTCGATCGCAAACATCCGTCCTTTATATTTCTCCTTTCCCACCCTTCCTCCCCGCCCTTTCAGCTCTGCCCAAACCTCCTTTAATTCTTTTCTCATTTTCAAATCCTCTTTTTTGATTCAATGCTTCCTCTCTATCACTACCTTGTGACTTAGCCCAGTACAGGGAATTTGATTTCTCCAGATCAATTTATGATATATTTCCAATTTATTTCTATTTTAATCCCGCAGGCAGCATGCTCTTGGCAGCAGTGAATGTATGCCTTCTGAAGCGCAAGCGCCAAAGTGCCGCTATTTTAAGTACTGTGGATTACTGAGATAAAAACTTTTACAACTGCCACGCTATTTTACCTCATTACGCTACTGTTCCTTATCAAAAATATGTAGTAAAAACAATTACAAACTGATTCAGGACACCACGGCGGACAATGCAGTTGGTAATGTTACTGGATCGAACGCAGTCAACGTGTTTCTTGGGCTTGGCTTGCCATGGACAATTGCAGCTATTTACTGGGCAACAAAAGATCAAGTTTTCGTTGTAAATTCCGGGAATTTAGGCTTCAGGTTTGTGGTCTGCAGTCAGAGTTTCTCAGAAAAAATCTGCCGACAGTAATGAAGGATTTCTGAAATAATGGCAGAGAGAATCAATGAGTAATAGGCAAAGGATCAAAAAGTGTAGGTGGTGAGTGAGAAAAGTTAATTATATATGAAATTTTTATATTATATGGTATTGAATGTGAGGCACAAAGCACGACAATTGCTAAACAGGAAATTCTTGGTTTTAAGTACCGGAGTTTTTCTCTCTGATCTGCTTTTGTTACCAAAATTATAGTCTCAATCACAGTTTTATCACAGTTTCATGGATATTCACTGTTTATATCCCTAAAATTTCCATAACAATTCAGCGTGTCTGTCTTCATGGCTACGACGACAATTTGTTTGGCTCTACTGGTGGCCCGACGAATGCTGGCATTCTTTGGCAAAGGCGAACTTGGCGGCCCAGTTGGACCCAAAATGCTTAGCTTTCTAATTCTTGTTCTCCTATGGTTAGCTTACGTATCTTTGTCGGTTTTGCAAGTTTATGGTTATGTTCATGTTTGATATGTATCATTTATATGAATATAAATAGGACTTTTCTCCTAGGTGCTTCCAGATGTACTGAATTAGATCAAACTAACCTGAGAAAAGTGAGATTATTCATGAAAATAAACAAAGAATTATAGCTTATGTGAGGCATAAGTGAAACACAATGAAGGCTGGAACAACCGGCAAGGGAAATTTTTAGTATTATTTGATACGTGAATGGAAGCTGGGGCGAAAAAGGGAGAAAAGCAGCAGTCGAAGTCACGTAATGAGGGATACTCATGTATCAGTAGGACATTTAAGTGGTACATTTGGTGATCGTTAGCACTTTTTATGCTAAATTTTCCATGTTTCATCCTCAAACTGTAGACATAGAGCTGGGTTAGTCGTGAGAAGTTGAAAAATTTCATTCTCTCAAATATTTCAATTTTTAAATCTTAATATTAACGTGTCTGGATCATAGGTCAGACACTCACTTATACAAAGGTTTTTGCTTAATATTACTGTCGTCTCCACTCTTAAATCACAAGATTCTCGGTATCTATGAAAGCCAGGAAGATAATATGTCTAATATCCAACACTTGTGTCCGAGTAATTAAA